TCAGTTCTACTTAATGTCGTATCTTTCTAAAAAAAATTTAAAAAATGAAAAATCTGATAGGCAATAGGAAAAAGTATAATCAGGTGAAGTAGTATACTACTGAATTCAGTATACTGGACAGTTATAAAACTTGCAACACTCTCAAAGAAGCTTTTCCCCAGGATTGTGAAGACACCTACGTAAAACTGCCACTTGACTGGCATGAGATACACTGTGAGTCAGCCACTGTCTACGCAGCCATTGTTTAGTCAAATACATCTGGGTCGATATACACTCAGGTTGATACCTTCCATCTTTTTGTCAATGTATGCAAGTAGTGTAAAATATATTGTCTCTTAGAATTGTGACAGGAAGAGCATTTTCTATTAAAGTCTTCTCTGATCAGAACTCCCATGCAGTCAACAACTGCATCTTCCTGATACTTCACTGTCAACTTTCTAAATCTCAAATGTCATTGAGATTTACAACATTCCTGCCTGGCTCCCCAGCCAGATTTTGAAGAACCATTCACTCTTACAAACATGAACTGGCAGCCTGTAAATAAACATAATGGTGGAATTGCTAATAAGCTCTATTTCCACCAAAAGTAATTTTTTTGCTAGATAAGAGACTGACGACATGAATTTCACATGGCTGACCATTTCCTACTACTTACCTCTATAGCTGAAAGTATCCTTCTATGGTAACTTTTTACTACATTAAAAAAGTTATTCTTGAAATCACAGACACCTAAATTAAGATCTCCGTCACATTACTGAAGCAATCTTACTATTACATTGGGTTGAAATAAATGAACATTTAACTTCCAGTGTCACAAATACTTCTCCATCTTACCAAAGATACTTGGCATTACTACTTACCCAAGACATGCAAGCAACTGCCCTGCCACCACAAGTCATTCTCATATATTTGACAGTTTTTGGTCATAACTGGTAGTTCTAACTTTTGGACATTGTATAGTGGTTGATTTCTGCAAAAGTTTAAATGATAAACTTTCATGAGTTAATAATTTTGTCATAAGATATATACAGAGAGAGAGAGCGCGCGTTAATTAATACCATTTGAAAAAAAAGTTAAGAATTGTATACACACACACAAAAATCAATTAAATTTCATGATGTGATCTTAGTAACTTGATTCTTTAATTGGAAAATTAGAAATTGCATTAATTGCTGTCACAGAATCCTAATTAAAAAAAAATTTTTAAAAGGGCATCAACAGACAACTGACCAGAATCTGCAGAGCTTATTGATAATTAATGGGTGAAGAGAACATTCATTATGGCAGAAAAGCTAGGAGAGATCTCCAGGGCAGTTTAGAAGGGGATGACTTGCTACTGATACAAAATTGTCAGATAAGTAGAAATCTAAAATGTACTGCAGAGGATTATAAAAAAGATCTACAGTACTAACTGACTGAGCAACACAATACACACTAAAGAATGGATAAACATATCCACAGATAAATAATACTCTTATTTGTACTGTAAAGCCCTCAGTGCATATGCTGGGTATGACTCCATTTAAATGTTACTCCATTCTTGGTTAATTGTGCTTCATTCTGAAAAGCACACTTTTTTTTTTTCCCTCCAAAGTCCATAAACTGTTGGAAATTGTGTAGAAATCTCACTTAGCAAAAGCGAAAATAGAAGTGCAAGACGCCGCTGATCTTGGAGCATGAAGGTTATGGCAAAGAGCCCCCATTTATTCCACTACAGCAATCCTGTTTCAGCTATTTCCATTTGTTTGTCTGTCTCTCCTTTCTTCTTTGCACCACCAAAGCAAAGTGGGTAGTTTGCATGTTTTCCCATTCCCAGGCTGGAAAAGTGTTGAAGAAATTAATTTTATCCTTTCAACAGATGAGATTATGGATTGTGATCTAGTCTCTTACTGTGTGAAAACAGTATTTTAATACTTCTGACTTGTCATTACTCAATACAGTACTAGCAAATTGTGCTTGAAATTAAGCTGTTGCAACTCACATTGCTCATGTAGAAAGATTTGGAGGGGAAGGAGAGAGAGGTCTAAAATACAATGAGATCCAGAACAAAAGCAGCCATGCAACCTCCCGAGTACAGAAATGAAATTGATACTAGCTACGTAAAAGGAATTGTTAGAGGAACTCTGACAAGACTGGGAAGCATATGGAAAAAATAAAATACAATATAAAAGATAAAATCCCTGAAAATTCCCCGAGTCCTCTTCAGAGCATTTCAGTGAAATGGCACAAAAAGCACATGCTCCATCACATTTCCACTCAGGAGCTGACAGTGCCTGGACATTTCTGAATCAGCAAGTCTAACATGAAGATTTTTTTTTCAGGGGTCAATTTTCCCATTGATGCAAGGAGGATTTACACATGCAAGTCTCATTAACATTAATAGGAGTTACCTACATAAATCCCCCTGCAATGATAGGAGAAAAGACCCCATAGTCCGCACGGATCTAAGTTCTAATGATTACCTGTCAAATGGCCCTAAGCATCATCATTGCCAGAAAAAGCAGACGTAGCAGCTTCATGACTGGAAATACTTCCAAAGGAACAGTAACTAATTGCAGTCAAACAGATAAGGCAATACAACAGCAGAAGGGGAAACGGCATAAAATTGACTGTTTGAATATAAAAGGGTTAATCCAATTAACCAACTTAAAAAGAAAGTACTCATTAAAAAAGGAATTCAAACATATCAAAGCACTCCTTAGAAAAAAAAAAAAAGGTGTGAATATTGTATGAGCTCCAAGGTGCTTGAAGGATAATACAGCTACTTGTTTAAAAATTCAATTAACCTTATCTTTCTTTAACTTGATTTATTAATAATCCTACAGATAAATTGCCAGTTTTTAAAAAGTCATGTTATCTTTTGAACACATCCTGTATGACAAGCCTTAAAAACTACTTCAAATAATCCTAACCCTCACTTTGTATGCTTAAATCATTTAAAGCAAGAACAAAATGCAGTTTAGTGCATGATTTCTGCAAAATAAAAGATCAACAGTGTTATCTACTGCTATTGCAAGCGAGCTATTGGGTACTCAAGTACCATAGGAAAAACATTTTATGTTTCCATTCACCACAGGAATGAGACATGAAAACAGTTTTTAAGCAATCAATGTAGTGTAAAGTCATAGCCTACAACTTGTAGATTATTCCGTTTTATCTAAAATAAAATCTGCAGTATTTCCAAACTTTGCTTCACATGGACATGAAGCACTAAGATATTACTTTATATAAACTTGTTAACTTATATAAACGTACCACTACACGCGTAAACTTCAATCTTATTACAAATGGCAACATGATGAAAGTAGACAACAGAATTATCAGGAAATCTCCACTAACAAATGAACTGCTTTTCTTGTGTAATTGAAAGAAAACACAGAAAAATGCACTTGCAAGCAAACCTTTAATTTTCATCAAACGATTTCCTTGTAAACACAGAAGATGAAAAATTACACTGTGATCCCTATTACTGAAAGATAAACAGGGACTAGGTCCTCCACCCGGTTCTTTTACAGATCTGTAGATGTTAAATACAATTACCGTATACTCATGCTTTCCAACACACATAAAAATTACAGCTAAATGAAGAGCCAGTCTGCTTATTACTATATATAAATAACTGCTCAAACACAAGCATCCAAAGATAAGTGTTGTTTAACACTGGAAACATTTCAACCACATATTTTTCTGAGGACTTTAGGATTATACACACAATGGTAACTATCCAATAAACAAAGAGTGTAAACGCTAATAAACCAGTTATTGAAATGCAAATTGGTCAACGTGTTATGATACAAGACAAAGTGAAGTTAACAGTATCAGTTATGCTGTAAAAAAATAAATAAATTAACCTTTACGGCATGAAGCCACTTTAAAGGCAGGCACGTGCACCGCGAAACTGTACAAAAGCCCGGATGTACCAAGTTCGGGCAGTGCTGAATATTCACTATTCAATGACATTTTTAATTAATGTACAGTATTTAAGCACAGCGAGAACTATATCTAAGTTTATGTAGAAGTTTAAACCCTGACTCGTCAAAATTCACCAATCTCTATACCTAGATACACTACTGAACTATTTGGTGTACATTTTAAGATAAATCTTTAAGTAAATGCTAAATATTTGTCATCATCTGAATATTTCGTTTCAAGCACTGTTCAGAAGTGCAAGTTTATCATGGCCATTTACAACAGCTTTCTCATTTGTAATTTTTCATACAAATAATAGGCTTATAAATCAATAAATTTTACTGTATAAATGCTTTAGGATGTATCATTACAAAATGCATAATTTACAGCTATTGCACTAATTTTAATCTTACTGACCAGGGTCAATACAAACCTTTGGAATTATCAGTTGAGCCTTCTTCCCAACACAAAACCCCTCAATTAATGATCATCTAAACTTCTCAGACATCATACTTCAAAAAATTAACTACTGACTTATTCAAGGCCCAAACACTGCAACAAATCCAGGGAAACAGGTACGTTCCATTTATGATTTAAAATTCTGTTGGGAAATCTACCATTGTTTAAATTGTGGTATTTTCCTGACTACAGTAAAATAAGTCGCTAGTAAAAACGTGATCTATTAGATCTTACTAAAAAAAAACTGAATGTAGAATAGTTTCATAGTGGATTATATTTTTTTCTAAATTATGGCAAGGATTTCAAAATTTACCAGAAATTTTTCATCATACAAATTAAACATGACAACTATAACATATTCGAAAGACACTCCAGAACTGTCAATAATATTGCCTTTAAATTCCATTCATAAAACTTTGACAGATTGCAAAGCTCACCTTCAACTGTTTAATTAGCACAGATCCAATGATTTTTAGATCTTCAATATGCTTTATCAGAAAATCATCTTCCGATGGGTAAACAAACTTGCACGTTTTTCTTTTGACTAGTTTCAATTTGTTGCCTGTTTAAAAGATGGAGGATTCCTTCCAAGATGTAAAATAAAGTGAAATTCTCTCAACAAATCATTAATGCTATTTTTTTGTTCAGCTACACATACCCCTGGATCTGGTAGACTTATGACTATTTAGAAATGTCTCAGCTATCAATAACACTATTTGATGAAGAAAGATTATTCAAGCTAAGGAAAATAAGGCAATTGCAAATAATACGGCTATGGGTTTTTTAAACCTCTTTTTCTTACCCTTCCTCCCTTACATTTTAGTTTGGGTCAACCTTATCTTCTGCTAAGAGAAGAGTGTTAATTCATCCTTCATTATCTTCCTTCTTAACAGCAGCACTATCTCCACTACTGCTTTCCTCGGTTGCGGATTCAGGTTTTGTCTCTGGTGAATTACTGAATCCAGACTCTTCTGGCACAATCTCATCTTCATCGTAAATAATATCTTCTGGATTCGGTGGCGGTGGGCAAAATTCCTCTGTAGGAAACATTTCTTGGAAAATGGTCTCAGCCTATTCAGAAAAAAAGCATAAAATAAACTTTACCTTGAAATGTAATACATTGCAGCAATATTTTACAGATATTTAAGATTAACCTCTCTTCTTTCAAATCAATAGGATTTAATATTTTGACAGTATTGTAAACATGGGTAATCCATTCCTTCTTGCAGTCCTCGAAAGAGAAAAAGCAATCTATCTTTTTACACTGTTCTACTAGAAATTCACAGCACAGGGCTTTTTAAAAAATGCCGGTCATCCTACACTGTATGGAGAACAATGAAGACGATTTTGTGCAAGAAAAATTATGTTTTCCAATATACAATAATCCCTAACTGCAGTCAAATGCAAAGCATGGGAAAGACCTTGCTTCTTTCCAGAGAGAAGAATCAATTTCACATAACAAGCAAAACCGGGGAATTGTTAACACATACAACCTACATCATACCTATATAGCTTTCCTTTTAAATTTAAAAATTACAAAAAAATTTGCATTTCTGTTTTTTCTGAACAGCTCATATGTAGCTCAACTGAGAACTATTCTCATCCAGTGGAATATTATCATTGAAAAAATATGCATATTTGTGTACAATACATGTAGATATTATTCAAAAACTGTGTGTATCATTCCAATGCATTATGTGCATACACCTACGTGCAGAAATTGTGTCTTTCTGAAAAGAACTGTGTAAGCAACTTTTATTTAGATAGACAGTTACTCTTTAAGATGTAGCTCAAGGATTTAATTTACAATGCACTTTATTCTTCATGCCATCAAAATTTAGATATTAAGTATACACAAAAAGTTAAGCTTTTTGACCACTGCAATAAAAGACGTTAAAAAGAAATGTGATTTTAGTTATTATTACAACATACAGAATACAACTACAAAATCCGGGATAGAAAGAACCATAATAACACAATCTTAGAATTCCTGAGAACCAGACATTTTCTAAAAACAAAGGAGGCCAGAAATCCTTTAAAAAACACAAGAATACAAGGAGCTTTGTTACCTAGTGTTAACTAGTTTTACATGTTCTTATGCAAATAAGCTATCTATAAGCTCATCTTAAAAAAAAGCTACACTCATGAATTTATTTACTGAATCAACACGCACTTCCCATTTTCGTAAAGATTTTCTTTTCCAACCCCTTAAGCTTCTAAGGCAAACGGAAACAACTGATACAGATACCAGTTACATTCTGGGTTTCTAAAAAGGCAAAAGGAACACTGTCTCTTGATTTAGTCTATTCAGTAAACTATGCCCTAAAGACGACCTGTGATGAGAGCTCCCACATAGGCAAGAATTCATTTCATCTTTATATTCATACTGCTACCAGACACTGCACTGAAAAAGCTGACAGTAGGGTCAGTTAACGCCAACTGCAAAGGCTGATTACATGATGCGGATTCCTGGACAAGAGGGAATTGTTTTCAGATTAATACATCATTGAGCATGTACCAAACAGCTTTCTGTGATAAACTTCACTGCCTACCAGCACTGGATTTCTATCACCAGCACGTGGATGCAGGAGTCCATTATTAACTGCTTAAATGATCCTGTCTACTCTCAGTTCAATTTCATTTTTTATTCTGCTTCCTAAATTTCACTCTTTCATACAAATTAAAAACTATTTATATTAGTATACGAAAAAAATACACAAAAAGATGTTATTCTCTGCTTCAAAACCAGCGTTTTGTAATTTGAGAACCTTGCCTAGTAAGTCTAGGGGGCAAGGGGATACAAAATATCCTACAAAAAGTTTACAGAACTAACTTTTTGAAGGCAAGAGAAAGACTTTATTCCAACTTGACCTTGAAACTCCAAAAATATACTTCAACTACTATTATATTTAATAGAATACTGAAGAAAGGTGTCATATTTTGCACTAAATATATGACAAACTAGAGCAGACAAACATTTCCTATGCAGTTCTCAACAATTATTCGCTGACTAGTTGGAGACAGAATATCAAGTCCAAAAATGTTCAAAGAATGATGAGGTCGAACATGGAAAGAAATTCTCAGGACATCATGACATCAATCCTAATTGAACAATTTAATAGTATAGAGTGCTTTCAGGCCTACCAGGTTTTTTTATGTTAATCTCATCCAGCTCAAGTAATGCAGAATAACCAATAATAAATTATCAGCTCCTTCATTATAACACTTTTGATACTTATTGGAACTAATTTAGTTAATAGTTCCTTCAATATTTAGTAGTTAAGTGTACCAGCTTTCAAGTGTGTCTGTTTGAATTAAGCATTAAGACATCAGCATGTAAAGCATTTGCATAGATACTCTAATTTATTAACTGTTAGAAGTTGAATAAAATGATATTTTGTTACTGTTTTACTGTATCCCAGCTATGCATCTTGATGGCATGTAGACAAGCTGTATGGGCTTTCATAGCAACTTTTACAGAGTGAACCACCAAACTAACAGTAGTTTGAAACAGGACACACTTAAATAACTCTGAAATCCTTCCAGATACAGAAAAACATGTCATCAGGTTAAAGGACAAATATTGGCATAACAGTTTCAGTGTTTCCTCTTATGAAAATGAAGATGCCTCAGAAATCTGAAATACTTCAGGGAACATACTACTTTACAAGATAATAAATCATGTCAGGTCATAGCAGTGAAAAGAGAGAAAACGGAAAGGCAGATGCTTTACTTGATCCATACCTACAGAATTTGAAGCAATCATAAATGGCACTTTACATTTTCTTTAGCCTATTCTCAAGGCAAGTATCAAAATTAATTCGATATTATACTAGGAATTCAACACTAAATTAAAACAAAACAAGTATGAAGTCATTTTTATACTGAGCTGTAGATGGATAATTGCCTGTAAAAGTTGTGGTGTCTTGTCTTCTAAATAACATATTATCAAACAGCATGACATATAGAAGTTAGTAATACTAATGGTAATGATAACATAAATCATGGGAAGTATCATTAAAATAGTAAACACAAAATTGATTAGAAAAATTAGATTCAGTTTTCCAAGCTATCTCCAAGACTAATACACACAGTGTGTTTATACTTTGATTTTTAAAGTGTTCTCATCCTTGAGTCTGTAAATATTTCATGTTTGGAGATTTCCATCCCATTGCTACAAAGATGAAAGTGATCTGGGGATAGAAGTCACACCAGTTTACATGTATTTCCCTCCTCCACTTGTCTAGAAGGTACCTGCATGCTCAACAGGGAGGGTGTATTCTAACGGCGAGTTCTGCTTTATCTTCAGACTGTTCTTCACTTTGTTCTCACTTACACTCCTCACTTTTATTTTCCCTGAGAACTTTTAATTATAAACATGTTTACACTAAAATATTTTTCACTCTAACTCGTGACCTTTTGTTTCAAAATTTAAAACAGGTTCAAAGACAATGTAGCTTCTATCTACTCTTCCGGAAAGGCAGTGTTTTAGGCTCTTCATTGTTTCTCCTCTGAGATCTGCTTGCTTGACATCTATCTCACTGATGGTCAACAGATTTAACACAAAGCCTCACTAGAATATTTAAGCACAGCTTCATCTATAATACCATTACTCACTGGTGAAGAGCTCTTAAGGTAAGACAAATCTGATTGCTAGAAAAGGTGGCTATCTTGAATTAGAAACAGACTGGTTTTTAAATGTATTGAAACTGCTTTTGACCTGGACTGTTTTAAATAACAGTTAAAAAATTCTGATTTAGAAAAGAACTCATTTACCACTTAAAACTGCTACCATAATAATTGTCTTGCATTATTTTTCGTCTTTACAGTTCTCTATCCTCTTGAGAGGCAAATTATTGCCTAGTAAAGCAAAATGAAGGGTACTATTAGCCCTTAATTATACTGTTCTGACCCTACAGTTCAGGCTATGTCAGCCTTTCCACTTTAAAAATCTTATTTTTAAGAGGTTTATGACTTAAGTCATAAAAAATTCCTGCAACTGGTTAGAAGATGGCATGCACATTCTCTGAACATGGTCATTAAAAATACAGCTTTAAAAATGACTAGTGCCAGTTAATCCTACAAAGATGTAAAAGTGTTCTCACATTAGCTCTGAAAGCACCCTGACATCACAGTGATGCTATGGCAGATCTGCCTAAGGATTTATACCTTCCTTATCGGGGTGGATCTCTGAACGCAAGAGCAAAAGAGAAGCATTCCTGTAGTTGTCTTTTGCTGCACAAGTATAATCTACATATTTGCATGTCTTGTTGAGCATGATACTGCTCAACAGTAGTGGGGAAGGCACATGAGTGGTACACACTAAGTTCTTTGTGAATCTCTATGTGCCTACACCTGAAGACAAGGTGTCCCTGCGTATCCTGCCTACTGGGACACAGAAGATGGCTATTTCAGTCTCTCCAACTATCTAGTTTTGTTTAGAGAGCTTTCACTCTTCTCCTCCAATTTCAAAGCACTAGTAGTTTGTCTTGAATTGAGTAGTGGTATGATATACCTACTACTAGGAAAGTTGCAAGTGGATCTCTGTTCAGGATTCCAGTTAGCCAGAACTAGATATGTAGACAACCAAATACTGAGAATTAAAAGTCAAAACTGAGTGTGACTTGGTGCCAAATACTACCTCAAGGTCAAGAATAGAATGACATGCCCCTTGTTTCCTACAGATTCACAATTACACCGTAATTTTTTCATACGGTGACACTAAGGCAAAGACAAGGTAAACAGACAGACAGCTTAATATACCAGATCAGTAATTATGCTGGGGTTTTTTTCTCCCCAATAGATTTTAGGTTTATGATTATGTCCTGCAACTACTTTGATGATCCTTCCTAGTTGAACTGTAGAAAGGCTTTTCTGACCTTTGATTTCTACTGCTTCTCTACTACTGCACCTTCTGTTTAACCTTACAAGAAAAAGGCTACATATTTTGGGAAGTTATCACTTACGCTTCTGAAATACGCAACAGTTTTTCCTTTCCATAGTATTAGAGCAAGTAACCATTCTACCAAGAGCATCATCTTCAAGTACTGCTGCCTTCTAGGTTCCCTTTACCTGTTCAGATTAACTACCTGCTACTCCTAATGTTACTGTCTCAACTGACCTTTTCTCAAGTTTCCTCCATTCTCAATCCCACTGACCTACATTTTGCTCATTAAGACTTTTTATGTCTAGCTGTGAAGTTTTATAGCTGTATTAGTAATAATTATCCAGCATAAATAGAATAGCCCAGAACAAAAGTAGACTGAACTGGACATCCTTGGTCTTGAAAAATGACAATTCTGCAACCAAAAAATTGATCTGCCCAACCTGTTTGACAGCACAGTCGTTTCCTAAAGCAGAGTCTGGTCCAGAACAGACATAAACATTTGAGGGTAAGCCATCATATGAACTTTTCTCAACTCCTGAAGAATCTCTCATGTTGAAGTAGACTGCCCAGAGAACTCTAGGTTTTTCCTGTTCTTCATTTTCAGCCTCTGAAAAGAAAAAAAGTGTTTCCAGTAACCAATGTTCATGTGTAATAAGAGAAATATAAAATCTAGAATACTAAAAGTCAATTTATTAACACAGAATTACTGTAATGAAGTTTGTTTTGGTTTTGGGTTTTTTTTACTGTTAAGAGCTAATTAATTTTAGTTTCCATTCTTTTCTGAGGTACTCTCTCATCATATTTTGCTTTTCCTTTACAAGTGTAGGTATGTAAACTCTACTTATTCTGTACACACTATGCCACATAAGAACCAATTATCACCTAAAAGCATACTACCAAGAAGTTTGGTCTAAATTTAATGCCTTTTCACTTCATGTTATCTAGTTTGCTCTGGATAAATTCCATGAGCATATGACGGTCTGAACACATCCTCCCAGGCTGTGCCAACTTGAAGCTATTGCATTCCATATGCAAAAATATTTTTGATGTATACTCCTACCTCATTTAATAGTTTACCTTTGTATGGGAACTCTTCTCATAAGACATTTGTGTTCTTTAAGATTGAGCATCTTCAAGCCAATTTAAGGAGACTAATTAATCCTCACGGTTTAAATAAAAGAAATTTTAAAGAAAAGATTCACAAAGAATAGCTCCCCCGCAAATTAACTGCAGATAAAGAATTACCAAAACCCTGAAGTACTCTTATTTGCGATGTGTGATACACAGTATATAGAATCTCCAAACTGTGGAAATACTGCTAACTGAAAATAAATTATTCATTTATATTTATCTATACTTACTGAGGACTTGTACTGTGCTACAATACTCATTATGAATACAAAGTGATCATGAACTACATCTTGCTTGTTCATCACCTGAACCTTCTTGCAGTTACTTTGCACATTCATATAACCCTTCTGCATACAGGCAGAAAAACCTCTGGGAAGATGAAGGTCACTTTTTAACAGTGCAGAATACAATGGAGGAATACACAACATAGATTCTTAGCTTAATAGATACTATTTGTTTGGCATATTTGCTGTCCCCTTTTTAGTATTTCACCTCCTCTAAAAGTAAATGAAGCTTGTAAAAGACCTTGCGAGATTTACTTCTTTCCAAGCAAGAAAATTCTAGATAACAAGAGCATTCAAACCTGTATTTTAAAGCAGTTGAATTAGGAAAAAAAAAAAAAAAAAGAGATAAATCTATGCTATTCCTTTAGTATCTTTTTATAACTGTCAAATATTTTTTTAAAAAAAAGGTGCTAACCATACTGAACAGTTTGAAATATAAATTAAATTCATCAGCCTGTGAAAGTCTGAGCCTTAATACAGGGCAAGATGCTCTTTAATATATTTAAAAGTTCACATTGCTCATAAAAGTTACTTCTTCCTCATTTCGGCAGGAAAATGAATGGAGTCCTCTTCTCCAGGTGACTTTGCCTCTTTGACCTGCCATGGCCCAGTGCTCACTTTATCTGGTGATTCATTTTCAATAACTCCAACAGTATTTGTTCTGACATTTTAATTAAAATACGACCACTACCTCATCCTGATGATAAAAAGGCCTATGTGTCAGTGAAAACTAGCTTTTCAGTGCCTCAGTGCACCTGAGGACCCCTATGATCACAGGGTTTCTACAGAAGAATTTCAGTCAGGTTCTAAACAATATATCATTTCAAAACTGGATCACTTTAAACATTAAGATTAATGCTAACCCCCCCAAACGATTAGAAGACTCTAAACTGCAAGCTAATCTTTTCTTCACCAATTGAGACTTTGAAACACACAGTGCTGTCTTGAAAATTTAAGATATATGTTTAATATTAAAAGTTGGAAATTAGCAGGCTTTAAATTAACAAATATCAACATGAAAAGTGTCTGCAGCTCTCCAACCTAATACAGCTTTCTATTTACAAATCCTAGTTGCATTATACGTATTTGTTTTGTAAAGGCTCTTGTACTACAAACCTAGTAAAAAATTTACATCTTTGGGACATCGAAGATGCCTTTCCTGTAAGCAAAAAGAGAAGGAAAAATGCCTAATACTTTACTTCCTATTAAAAGTATGCTGTTGTCTAACAAAACCAAGAAGATATTTGCTTTTTCATTAAAAGGTAGAAGAAAACAAATGTAAAACTGGAAAAGAACACTGAAAAACAAACTTGTGAAAAGCTGAACACAACCCTTTATGAAACACTGTTCTTGGTTACAGAATCCTGAGAGGAAAAAAAGACTAGCCTCATAAAAGACTGCTTTTTTATTTTAAACAGCAGAAAACTCTACCTAAATTCCTGTTACACTTCATGAATAAAGCACAGTAGCAAATATTATAACCAAACCAATTATAAATATTATAAAACAATTCCACATCTTACTAACTTAATATATATGAACATACATACTTCACTGACAGTTAAGTATAATGTTCTTATACAAAAACTATGATTTACTGTATTTAAGTATGAGCATGCTATATTGAAAAATGCTTTGCCAAGGTTAGAACACAGCAACATCTTCTCTGTGCACACTACTTATTCTATCAGCATCTACCAAAAATAAGATTAAATTCAAGATCTCGGGATAAATTACAATGACTTCTGTGGCACTAGAACAAAGTATCTCAGGGACAATTCCTTTCTAGGCAACAACTGCTCTGTCAACAGCTACTTTCCCCTGGGACTGTGAAACTGTCCATCTCAAGGTCAAAGTTCATGATAGTAGTTGTTAAGTTTTTTAGCCCTAAACTCAAGTTTCCTTGAATTTAGGGCCAAATAGTTAATTATTGGAAATTGCTGGAAATCTCTTCCTGATAACACTGCAGCACATAACAATTTTATGCTTCCACTGCTTGAAGGAGAACCCAGAGAATTTCAACTAAAAACAGTAAACAAGGAAGCACTTGCAGAGAACAAAAAGATGAGCAACAGTCTTCGAATAAGAGAAGGCAAAAAAACCCTAAAAAGCTTGTAGCACTGAGCACATATAGCAGGTGGAGGAGAAAAGCACTAACTTTTGGAGTTTTGATAACTTTTGTTAGGAATACCCAAGTGATAGAAATCACTAAAAACCAGGGTAGTGTAAAAAAAACAGATTCGCAAATATTTCATTTCACTACTGCACCTCTGAAAGACATGCTGAGAAGCAAATATGCTTCCATGAAAAGGAAAGTGTGAAAAATTGAAAAGATCCTAGACACTTACAGTATACTGAAGTTAAACCACAGCTGAAGAAGACTTGGAACATTAGATCACGAAATACAAAAAGGCTGACATCTGTCTAATCAATCTCACTCTCAAAATAGATTCCTTTATTTTGAAATGCTGGTATCTAAATAGCAGCTCACCATATGTTGACTCTGATGACAGATTCAGATGTTCAGTAACAGATACTTTAGTTACAAGGGTAAATTATAGTTTTGCAAAATAATCTCTTAATACTTCTTTTATTTATTTTTACCTTTTTCTGGATTTAGGTTGAATAACTTCTGTACAACAGGCTCTAAATCTTCCCTAGCAGTTTTAGTTGATGGACAGGTCAAATGGACTAAATCTGTTAAAAGAGAAGACACACTAATTACAATCACCAATACACAGATATAGAATACCATTTACAATTTCAGAAGGCACAGAAGGCTTTAGAATCACTGCTCTTCATATAAATCACTTCTTTGAATCCAGAGAAGTACTGTATTATGGAAATACAGTGTATATACACCACACAGAGAAATTTTCTTAATAGATCTTGTAAATATCTCCCTCTTCCACATATGTTGGTAAGATGGAAGTATAATTTAATGTTGGCAGTGCAGAGAGAATGCTGTTCTATGAAAAGGTGTCTATTGATACCAGGAAAAGCAGCACCAAGATTCTGGATGACACATTGTATTTGCCATTTATGACCTCCAGAAACCCCAAGAACATTCTTATCAGTGTTGACAGTCTAGTAGTTCAACAACATACTAAACCCAGAAATACCACTACTTTCATCAGCACTCTCCTTTAAGAGCTAAATTGGGACTGAGTGGGAATTGGGAAATTTGGCTACTCACAGTTTAAGTCTGGCTGTACAGGAGTAAGTGGGAAGCTATTTTTCTCCACTGAAGTAAAAAATTGCAGCAAGACTTCCATTTCTTTTATTGTACTGAACAGTAAATAGGAGATAAAGTGAACAGACACAGGTTTTAAGTTACAGCTCAAGTGGGCTGGCAGTTCACTCTTTCTCTCCAGCCACACAGAGAATGAAGAACACTGAGAACACTGTTAAATTTTGACAAACTACAGAGAATTTGAAGATAAGCACTGCTGAATAGCAGAGAAATGTTCTACATTTCATTCATCCACCTTCTTAAAGGATGGGAGAAACAACAGTTTTGTGTTGCGGTAAGGGTGAAATTAGGTTAGGTGGGCCAGCAAGGATTTCTAATAATTTGCAAAACTGATTTCAAGTACTTGATTTCAAGAGGTGCTCTGTACACATCAGAAACAAATCAGAGAGTACAGCAAATCCATGCTGGAAAAAGATGGCGTGAAAAGATTATGGACCACTAGAACATATTTTTGGAACTGTATAATTAATCAAAATTCACCTTACAGCGTAAGCAAATCAATGTCACTAAATCCAATTTTGAATTTGTGAAAATTCACAGTTTTGCTTGAATAATGCAGATTTGATATTTAGATTTCTTGTTAATGCACTTGTTTTCATGAAAAAAAAAGTTGCTAAACAGATTCCTCACAGAACATACTGTTCCTTTATTTGTTCTGTTTTGCAAACCAGTGAAGTTGCTGACTCCTTGGAAAAGATAATCACTTGATGCAGCTCTTGACCTCTTTTCTGTTCCATTGGTCTCTATTCAGATGCAGAAGCAGGTACTCTGCTGCTTCATCCCCCAATTCTACATCCATTCACTCAGAAATTTAAAAGCTTCATCCTGAAGTTTTTTATAAAGCCACCTTAACTGACTCATTTGCTGCTGAACAGTTGTCTGCAAACTCAGCAGCAGAGAAGTATCTGTCAGAGAATCATGAAGTTGAATGTATCTTTGTGCAAAGTTTAAACTGATTCTTTTTTTCTTCATTACTGTATATTTCTGATCGATTTAACATCAATGTATACCAACAGCATTATTTTAAATCCATATAACATTTCTTTCTTTTCAATCCGAAGTCTGGATATATTTGTGTCATTATTTACAACTATGTCACATGTATCTTGCATCATTTCCTGGCTGCAGTTATGCTACAGAAAGTTTGACACTGACTCCAAAAGGACCAGAAATTTAACCCTTCATGCTCCTCTTCTTTTGGACTACACACACAAACATTTTATCCAAACATTAATATTCATTTTTTATTGAACCAAAAGCAAACCATCTGTCTATAAAGAGTATGTACTAAGTAAAAGAAAACAGGTCGTGATAATGAAAGTCTCCCTGTAATCTTAACTAAACCTTTACAATCCCAAACATTGTAACAGAATGTACTCTTTCCTCAAAAAAAAAAAAAAAAAAGCTATAAATCACTGAAGTTCACATCACTTTCTATAAAATCTTTTTTATTATCTTTAAGGTTATGGCTATGAGTCACAGTCATCAGTATATATTTTGATTATATTTGATTTACTCAGGTATAACTGCATTAGTTACAGTGGTTGCCAACATTTGTCTTCAAGTAATTCTTCTAGCAGGAAGAACGATGAGTTTAGTTCATGATTTCATCATTACAGTCTCAATTTTTAGGGCAAGTGAAGGAGTTTGGTTCCACTCAACTGGCAATACAGATTATGTGCCTGTCATTTATGCAGTGTGATCAAAGAGTAGATGTATTTGTATACTTATCTTAAATAATTGTTTGAAGGAGAAATCAGTCAGGTTAAAGCCCATTTACAGATAATGATGTAAAAATTTTTTAAAAAATTATGAAATATGTCCCATAACTAGAACTCAACTATACCTAAAGTAGAACTACATTACTTTAATAAACAAAGACAAATTTCATTATGGAATATAGTACCTTCTCTTCTGAAATGAGAAGAATTTATGGAGAAAAGTAAATAACAACCTTAATTTTTCAGCACCACAGAAATTCTCATGAAACTAATAATTTGTGTCTACTTGAACATCAATCCTTTAGTTTCACTTCCTGAAACATATATAATTTGTGAACACTTAAATAATGCAAATCAGTTATTTAAAGGATAAATATTAAAAATATGCTTTACAGCACTAAATTCTTAATTACAGGATTATCTTTTTTTTATTATTTAAGTAGGAAATACAACTTTGAGTGACTTAATCGTTTAGTTCACCCTTCTTATGCAAGGAACTGAGTTCGAGCCCAGGTAACAGCAAAATAAATAGGTTATTATTACAGTTACTTATTTTTTGTTAAAAAGCATTAGGTGAGGTAAACTTTAATTCTATTTCTCTTCTATAGTGTCCCAAATTGGTAATCTATTTAACAGAATTTAGAAGCAGAATTTGGAAAGAAAAGTAAATATCCAGTAAGAACATTGTGTTGCTCATCTATTTCAAGTTCATATAAAATACCAACAGTCATAAAGAAAAAATAGAAAATAAAAATAAAAAATACACACATAGAAAACCATTAATGGAAATAATAGGATGTCCCTTCTAGAAATGTGATCTCTCAGATATTTTTAGAATTAAAGAATCTAATGCAGTAGACAACAATAACAAAGTTCTTAAAATAATTCCTATAACTTTACCTCACATATTTCATGACGTACTCCTTTCCTCCAAATTTCGTAAGGTGACATAATCCCACCTCCCCCAAAACTTTCAGAGGATAAAAAGCCCCCAAGACAGTGTACTTCAATGTAACAGTTCAGCTAAGGTAGTGCATTTTCAAAAAAACAAACTAACAACAAACTACCAGTAAGATTCATGTGCTTTAGAATGTTTTTTAATCTACTGAAGGAAAGATTTATTATTGTGTCAGTGAAAATATTGTGTTAGGTCTATTAACCTACTAATTAATTGTTCAGTATATCCCAATTAAGAAAATGGCAGAAACAAGAACATATGCTCCAAAGTATTCTGCTAGAAATAATACTGAAAAATACTTCATGCTTGTACTGAGAACCTATCCCTATGAAAACAAAAACTTGTAGTATTTTTTATGAGGCCGCAGAGTCCTATGACGTAATGAGTGTCTTAAATTTCAAAGGTAGTTTGAAAGGGGAAAAAAAAAAACCAAACATGCAGCTATGTTAACTAAGATCCTACCTTTTTGCTTATAGGTTTTTTCAGAAATGATTTAAGAAAATACTTCGGGTGGGTTTTTGCCCTTTAATTGTCATGGTAAACTAAATTATTGGCAGAAAATTTTACAAAGAAAACATTTCTAAGCTAAAAAATCTCTTAATAATTTGACTTGAAGACGGCACAATTTTAGCTAGTTACAGTGGAAAAGAAACAGTCTGCTAGAGCTCTCCATTAAACTTACCTGCCATTCTATGAAATCTTCAGTTGTCTTAAACGTCGTAGAATAAACAAAATATGCAATTCTAATACTTTTTTAAAATTGAAAAACAAATACAGCAGTCATAACAAAAAGCTCTTTGTTGGTGCTATTTTATAATTACAGTACAGTCAACAGAGTATTGTCCCAGTACTAATAAGACTACAACTATAAAGCTTATTAGCCACATCAGTGTTAAAAAGAACATTTGATGGTTGATTCATTTGAAAGTAAATAACAATATACTTTATTACCATGAAAATCACAGTAAGACTTAAATAATTATCACATGTAAATTTTTAAAAAAATCAAATGCAACAAGAATCTTGTATGATTCCTAAGCCATGTGAAACAGTACACAACTGTTATAGATTGAAGACAATGGACTATTTCTCTCATCTGCTGGTAACAGTAGCATAGCACACACTGTTTTCTCATGTAATAGCCTGATCATTGTGTAGCAGATGAATGATACGCAAATACTTTACATTTTGTTCCAGAGTTGACAGAGTCAAAGGGAAAAATATAGTTAAGGTTACATATACACTGTACTTACACGTGTCCTTCATGCACGTCATGGTGGAGGAACACAACTCTATGACACAAACTGCTGGTTTTCCCGGATCCACTGGAGGCACTGTCAAAACGGAAACCTATCAAGCAGAAAGAACAACTCATGTTAAAGCAGAGTAATATGGAGAATGAGGAAATCAACACAATTCTGAGTAAAGGTGAAAATTAATTGCAGACAGTTAATACAATTCCATTTTCTGGTTTATTAGTAACAATTTGTGCAATCAATCCTGCAGAATTTGAGCATTCAAGAATTTCTACCCAACTCAGCAAGGCCACCTTTGTTAGGAATGTCTGCAGCAGTGGAACAGAAAGAAAACAGCCCTATCACAGCCCTTTCCAAAAGGATGACAGTGTGGAAACTCTGTTGATAAGAGACTGCAAAATTCTTTTTGAACACGAGGCAGAGCACTGCTAGGTGAAAATGACTGAAGGACTTTTGTGTAGGATTAGTAGTAGCAAGACTTAGGAAGAACAGACTTCTCTGTCATATATGTTCTTATTTTGCAGATTCTATTTAACCTACAAGAATACAGGAAGTGTCCAGAAAAGACACAACACAGATTAATACCCTCTAAAATTAAGGCCTGTAAAAGACTGATAAAGCAGAAACATTTAAAGAAGGATCCGAAGGCATACAATAAGAACTTGGAACAGTAAAAGTAAATGTTAAAAAAAACAGAATAACTTTGAACAACATTTAGATAAGAAAATATAACAGTTAATACTAAGGGTAACAGTTTACAAAAAAGCAAGCAAAATGAACTACCTTAAAGACAGCAATTAGATTAATTAATATAGTGCAAACCAAACAGGGAAACCCAAGTCCTTTAACTAAAATAAAATTCCTAACAGTTTTATAGAGACTAATGAATTAAACAATTATCAGTTAAGAGAACTGACTAAAAAACCTGGATTCAATCAGAAACAAAAGCATGAATTAATTCCTTCCAAGAACTAAATATTTATACATACAATTCACAATTCATGCAGAGGTGATACAAAATTGATATATACCTGTTGCTCTGAATCCGTGTTTAGTACAGACTGATCTGTAATGAGAACTGCTCTGGAGATCTGCCTACAATTAAATAAAACAATCATGGCATTTGTCAAAAAAAATAAAAATAGCAATTTGGATTCACAGTTTTGGCAATACCAATCTAGACAGAATACTGTGGGAAAGCTACTTAACCATATAATTATTAATATGATTGTTAGTGGGATGTTTTGCCTGTTGCTGAAGTAGGAACATTAATAATGTATTTTCAATGACCAAAATAGATGACAAATAAATAAGCCAGTGCGATTATATAAAACAGCTTGAATACCCTTCTGATTTTTATAAAATTGTTTCTTTAATCAAGATTAGTAGCAGCATGTTACAGGGCTTTTTAGGTTCCAAACAGCACAGAACATTTAGGATTAATGGGAAATACACTAGGGTGGAGTTGATGAATTGAAGGTTCTAATCCTCCACTGCCTGTGACTATTTCTGCACTGCACCTACTACTACAGTTTTGCTACTACCTTCTCTGCACTGTTTTAAAGACAAAAGCAGTATATGTCCCATGTTTTTGTCCAGAATAAGCAAAATCACAGAAACCAATGACTTTTAATACTTTTCTAAACCTGCACAAATTTAAAAGCATGAACAGCAATAGGCACCTCCACCTTCCAAACACTTTAATGCATGAAATCTCTAATGTACTTAAGAGATAATGCTTTTCTTTTTTTTTTTCTTTTTTTTTTTAAATATGGAAAAGGGCAGTGTGATTTAGAGGACAATTTAAGAAAACCTAAAGATAGAAAGTGTATGGTACGCCCTCGATTATATAGAAGAGAAAAATTATTCACAGAACTAAACTATACTGCAAAGATAAAGCAGGAGACAATAATCTCTTAAATTTATCTTGCAGGGTACTCTATATATTCTTATTTAAATAAATTTCTACGTTTACTGTTTTACTACATACCTGTAACACACTTTTGTGCATACGCTCTCTGAAAGGTAACTATCTTCCACAATAAAATAGTTAGCACTTATTCTTTGGCCAAAATGATCCACAATAGCTTTGCAACTGTTTAAAAAAAATCAAACCAAAATAAGAAATTTAGTTATAAGGCAACAAAAGCTTGTGTAAGTTTTTGAAATTGAGTTATACAGCACATCATTTACATTTTTCAAGTAAGTTAGCTACACATTTCCTTAACACACCAACCCCTAAACCAAATCAACTGAAACTGATAACTGTATCCTAGACTTATACAGTCTACCTGTTATACACAAATTCTTACACGCATTGTCATTATTGATAACGATATCAGGACATTATTAAATTGGTCAGTTTATATAAAAAAAAAAAAAAAGCTAATAACACTGGCATTTGATTGTACATGAAAACAGCACACATTTCTTACCTCATGATACATGGAGAAGTAATACTGGGAACTATTTTGTGGATGCTATGCTACCACAGTGTCATTTTTCCCCAGTCAGCAATCTTTATCAAAGACAAGTTTATTTTTACAATAATATTTGACAAATTAAATGGTAAACTAACTTAAGAGATGTAAGAAAAATCCCTGAGAAATGTGTGCGTGAAACTGTTACAAAAGACTTTTTTTTATCTTCTACACTTGTGGCTAAATATACTATTTATCTCTAAATTACACACAAGAAGGATTAACTATAGTCACATTGCTATAAGAGTAACAGAAATGTTCCTGATTCAGTTTGTCTTTGAATATATACAAATTGTAACCTAAAGGTGTACCTCAGGCAATACCTGAAAAAGTTAAAAAACCCAACAAAACTACAACAAAACCAAAACTCAACCCAAGACACACCCACCATCAAAACAAAATGAGAATAATTAACAGCTGAGACACTACTACAAAAATTTTCAGAGCCAAGTGCAACAAAACAGACTAAAACTTATAAATGGGACGGAAATGCAAACCACAGAAAAAAAGTAATTCAGAGATCTGAAATGAGAACAGGATACAAATGTCAGATTTTAATGGGGGAAAAAAAAATCTCTATGAAAGAACAAACTTCAGACTTATATATAACATATATGAAACTAAATGATATGTATGAGACCAATAAAAAGAAGGCTGCATACAGATACTAACTAAAACCAACCTCTACTGCTGCTTCTTATATGCCATGATTTGTGTTCAGTTTAATTGTACATATTTTCCTCAAAATGAGACAGGACAAACATTTTTAGAAACCCCTACAGGTTTAAAGAGCAACTATCTTAATGAATGCTTTTCCTGTCTAAAGTGAAAGGAAAATGCATGCGCTACAATTTCTTTCCCTATAGTTTGCTTCCATATTCTAAACATCTTTAAGGCTTAGTATCAATTTCTAAAACAAGATTTTAAGGTTTTTCTACAATATCAGAATGTTTACTGTACAAATAAATAAAGCAAATTATCTTAACTTTTGCTTAGTGTATGAAAGTTACTGTTTTTTTTAAAAATTAAACTATTCTGAATTGGTATCTCAATGTTTCAGTCAATGCAATATATATATATCAAACAAGCAAGTTCTCTCACACACATTTACACACACACACACACACGCATGGGCAAACATGAAAAGAAACAAAAGGATGCCTAAGATTGAGATCCTTTACAGATTTAATTGTGTTACATCACAGCACAACATTATTTCTGTATCAGTAAATACCTGACACAGAAGTTATGCCTTAGGAATAAACAGCATTTCTCTAACTTCTTGTTACTCATTGGCTTCTGTGATCCAAACAGTCTGAAACTAGAGATGAGAACCAAACCTAAATAAATAATAGCAATCAGCTGGCACTAGCTTTAGTAAACCAGCTGCTTGTATAGTCTGAAATGAAAACTGAAAAAGGGTGCACACAACGCTTATTTGCAGCTCTTAAGAGGTTTATGACCATTAGGCTCATTTTTATAACACCAGCTGCTAATGCTGATTTCACAAGAAGCTGGTACTACATATATACCGACATTCAGATTCCACAGGTAACATGAAAACAGTAATTAAAAGAAGTTTAATGGTACAAGCACCATGTAACTTTAAACATGTAGTACTCTTCATACAGTTTCAATCACATTCTATTCAACATGTGTTTCACTTGGAACTTTAAGGAGTTTTTTCTCAATCTTAATCTAACTAATTTAACTCTCAAGCACGCATTTGAATACTGCAAATAAACAAGGAAGTCAAGCTGCTACAGTTCATTTCTAATTATAACCTTTCTTATTGTTTATGAAACAATTTCCCCTGCCACCCCCTAAACATTTCTGAAGAGGAAAGGTTGATTAAATGTCATGTTGCATCACTCAAAGCCAGCAAAAGCAACTACACTTTATTTTCCTGCTCAGTGTTGTTTCCTCTCCTTTGTTCAGGAATAGCTATCAGGTCATATGTTTGATAAGATTTTAAACTGAAAAAGAGATAGTGCTTTTAATTTCAGTCTCCACTTTACTTCAAAGGATGATGCTGAGAAATTTTCTTTCAAGTACTGCTTCCAAATATGGAAAACACTTATGCACTGACATTATCAGGTCTCTGTCATCTGATATGTGTTGCGACAATGAATCATACAGAACCCTCCATTGACCTTCTTTCAATGTGTCTAGATAAAAGGATGAAAATTAGAATCCATCTCCTTGCAGTGCCACGAGTTATAAATGTACTTTATAGGGCTCATTATCCAAACTAATGGACTAAGGGCGACATCCTTGAAATGGACTTACCAGCACTGACAAAGCCAGTATGCAATATTTCAAGAAAGATATGTAAATTACTATGTGTTTGCTATATCTTTTTATTACAGATGTATAAATTTCCATTTATCATATCTTTTCCATTTTTGAGACAGAATTATGTAATTGGAAACATATGTAAAGTGTGATCAACATAAAATGCCGACCACTACTATTAATTCAATACATGTAATTTAAAATACTTTAAATTTTATCATAGGTACCCAAAGTGACCTATAATAAACACAGAGAAAATAAACAACAAAAAAATTTAGTTTTCATGCATACATTCAATGTGCTTTTTCCTCAGCCTAAGGAATATGATGTGGTTTTTATTTTCTAACAGCGTCAGAGTTATATCACAAACGCTGGATGTTCTGCATATGTACTGAAACAGCAGACCTAATCTGATAAAATACGTTAAAAAATAGAAATTTGAAGCGGATTGCCAAATTACCAGAAGCTTTTATGTCTATAAAAAGGGCTATAGTAAAATGATAAAAAAATAGTTGGGGATGAAATCTACTCTCTGTATATACAGTTATGGGTAGCAAAAAAGTGATAAAGCAATTCAACTAGATATTGAATGGTGTTTTATTTTTCTTGTGCTAGAAAGAATGTTAGCCATGTCTAGAAAGGAGTTGAAATAAGCTTTGGTGCTATTTAGGGACTTCAAATTAAACTGTAAATTATCAATAAAAAGTTTGAGAAGAAAATCAAGGCTGTAGCTGTAAATATCATTTTCCTTCCATGTACTACAGCAAGAATATTAAAAAGAGTGAAAAAATAACTGCACTAAGGAAGATGCTTATGAAATAGTAATGAATACTGCACAATCTGATTCAATTTCTACTGTTACGAGTTTAACCTATTTGTAACCAAGGCAAGCTGCCTCTGAAACTAGACAGCTGCACTGACAACGAGATATGAATTTGTCTGTTACCAATTACTATTAATGGCCTGTTGACTCAAAAGCTCAGTAACTCATAAATACCCTCATTAACAATTTGATAGCTGATTTTTATTAGGCAACACAGTGAAGTCCAAAGTCAAGAGGAAACTAGAGCTGGTGCAGGGGGCGAATGAATACACAGTAAAAGAAAGAGAGAACATGAAGAAAGAAAAAGAAGGGAAAGGAAATAGTGATGAACTTAGCAACAAACTGGATAGCTTCTAAGTAACTAAGGAAAAGACTTAGCAAATAAAAGCAGAAAATAATACAGAAAGTAATATAACTGAATGAAAGGATAGAACTGGGTGAAAGAAACTCAGCTTTCTGAGTAACATTTTTGCTAGGGTGAAAACGATGATTGAGACTTTGTAAAATTATTAGGAAAAGAAGATAATGTTATATGATCCTTCTTTCATTGCTAAGAATATACTTTTAAACATATTTTGACCTAGGCTGAGTTATTTCCCTCATCTCAAAGAAGTCTGACACTTCTATACAGTTTTTTTTTGTTTACTTTTACTTTGTTGTAGAAATGCTATTTGTAAAATACCTGCTTTGAAATTATGGGAGACCTAAAAAGAGACCACAGAAGCAAGTGGGTGGCTCCAAGGAGAAGGCAGGTGACTAGAGAGGGGAAGCTGGATCTGCTGTGCTGCTTCATATTCAGTATCAGATAATGGCACTATTAAAAGACAATGATTTCGGAACAATGAAAGCCTGGTAAAGTCTTGCAAAGCAGCACTCCACCTTTTTTGGAATACATATAACCTTAACAAAGAAAAAGTTAATTTCAAAGGTCTTCAAAATGTGCAAAGAAAGCTGAAAACTGGGGCATCCAGCACCACTGACAAGATCTCTAGAGTAGTGTTTGGAAGTTGCTAACTGAAAGCTTTGTCTTTCTGAAAGAACAAGTTAGCTATTTAGACATTATCAGAAAATAAAGCTGCCTACAGTAAAAGTTCAAATATTACTGTGAAAATAAACTAGAGTTTATGAAAGGGGAATAATTTCATTTGCATGTGAATCGTGCACTTAGAACAACATCACACATGATGATATACTATCACATTTGCATCTCAAAGTCTAAAACTGTGCCATGAACTTCAGAACCTTAAGGACCTGACAGAAAGATAAAATCTGTTGTTTATGGAATTTCAGGGAAAACAGACACTACTTGACCATGTCATGACAAATGTAGCTACAAGTACTATGCCGAAAGAATCACATGTGCAATGCAACTGGAAAGTAAACACATCACACCCATCATTTAACTACCAGTTTTCTTAAATCTTACTACGTTTTCAACATTTTCTAGAGAACATTTTGAACTTTTCAATTAGAGAAACTAAGCTAAAAACAGACTCAAGAGAACCAAAGCCTGCAATTAAAACCAATAACTGATAAAATGTATGTAACAGAATCCATGACAATTTACAGAGGTGTGAAAAATGTCACTATGGAAAAAACTATGGGTTGATTTTTCTTAGCTTAACTTTAAACCTGCCTACAGGCCTGATATTGTTGTAAAAGAATTTATCCTAGGATAAGAGGGCAGCATAGTTTATGACAACAATCTACCTAAAAACTCATTAAAGTCTTTTCTCTTGGAGTGACATGCATTATCAGCAAAGATTAATCTGATGAGTCTTTAGGTGAGCTCCATTTTTAAAAATGCAATAACAGAGGGCTTTGTTGTCATCTGATGAAAATCAATTAGAGTAGGTAAGGCCACAAGGAAAACTAACATCACTCATCACCAGCCCCCCGGCAGCTGAAATGATTTGTCTTCCAAGCTTGGGTGATCAGGAGCTGTAGTAATATCACAGGGAAATTAATTTAGTTTCTATATTCTAGACCCACTTTCCTTGTTCTGGAGGACCTATACACAAATTACTTTTAATCAAGGTTGATGTGTTATTAATACCAAGGAGGATCTTTGAAGAATCATTTTTTTTTAAATTGACTTCACACATTTTTCATCTGTATTTTGTATATAAACAGAAGGTTACTTATATTACCCTTACCGTCCAGATTCTTTGTCCACTACAAGGCACCGCACAGAATGGCGAAGACAATAGATGCCACCAAATACAGCACACATCCTGGAAACATATTAGGGGGGAAAAAAAAAAGGTTACTCCTATCACAACTAATTGTAATCAATGTGAGTGTGTGTCATAAGCAAGGCAAAGTACAGTGCATGCTGTAGTACATTTTCAATGACATATCTTAATCTCTGAATCAGACAATCAAAAACCAATCAAAATAAAGCATGTTCTATAGTTTGTGTAAAGGATATGTTGATAACTCTTTTTGTATTAGCATTTATCTTTGTCCTCTAAATTGTTATGTTAGCTTCAGCACTCACTCTCTGTTACCAGCTGTAGTCATTCAGGATGGAAAAGCACCTATTTACTGAAGGTGCATAGAATATCTACTGATATTCTGACCACACTACGTTGCACATGGTGTAGACTAAGAATGTAAGAACACATGATAACCATACCAACCTTCTACAGAAATCTACGTGTGATTCAGAAGTAATTTCTCTACCCTTAGAAAACATAGCGTGGGAACTTCATTATTCCAGGGTCATTCTTATTATAATAATACAAAATGCAGAGGATGAAGTTCTTTCACACTTGGTGAGACAAAAGGTAAATCAGTAGGAGCATTTAAAAAAATATTGTTCAAATTATCTTAAAAAAATAAATAACCTTTCTCTTAAAAATTTATAGTCAGCATGGAAATTACCTAGAGGAAAAAAGTAAAGAAAAAAGATTGGGGAGATGTGTCTGATCCCTTACAATACAATTTCAGGTTTGGACTCTGCAGTGTCTGATCTTAGGAATTTTTAATGCATTTTTAAAATATATTTACTTATTTAAGAATCTCCAGTGATTCATTCAGATCAATCAGCTATCACTGACCTCTTCTCATGTATGCTGAAGAGAAAGAATGAACAAATAATCCGCATACTGACATAAACTGCATATCCTTTTCTCAGAGAACCGCTCTATCAGAGACAACTGTCAAATGCTATCAAGTGACATTTGACAATTCTGCCTTTGTCCCACAAGTTAAATACACCTGTGTTCTTCTTGTAATCCCTATTATTCAAAAGTAAATAGCCTCTTATGAGTAAAGGACAAAACAGTCTGTAGCACATTCAATGCAGTCACACACAACTCTTCCATCTTGTAATGCCAGAGAAGGAAACTGGGAGTTTTTGGTGTTCCTGTTATTCAGCTGAGCTTCGGTCTGGCCCAGCCATTTGATGTTCAGCTCAGAGATATAAGGGCAGAGCTGAAACTGGGAGGGCATAAAAATTAGAAATTACACCTGCCTTCTCATAAACAGAGCCTGCCTAGGTATTGTGTTTAAAATAAAAATGTGCAATGTTATTTATCTTTTGGTAGAGTTTACTCTGTAACTTAACAGGCGAGTGTGACTATATTTCTAATACCTGCCTAGAATTAGCTAGGCATCCGACCAGCCAAAGCAAAAAAACAGATCAGAAAGGCAGGCTGGTTTGGCAGAACACAGTTCTCCCAGACTTCTGGGATGATACCAGGATCTTCTTGGTTTACTAACAGGTGGTTTTCTTGGTGGTTTTTGTTTCTTTGGTTGTGGTTTGGTTTGATGAGTTTTGGGGTTTTTTTTATTTTGATGTTAAAGAGCTTTACATATCTGTTCATAGGTGATGAACTCAAAAACTTTCACTTTGCAAACCTGACTTCCTAAACTGGAATGTAACCATATGGGTATTCAAAAGTCCTATTAGGCAGATCAAAGGCAGTTAGTACTGCAATACCTTTTTAAACTGCATGAAGGATGATGTATCACAGGAAACAGCTGAAGCCTGTTACCAACTTGCATCTGAGTAGTACTCCAAAAGGTAGCAGTGTAAGGAAACGTCAGCAGTATCGCTTACTACTGGCAGAAATGAGAAGATCCAGTTCCCTAAAAATACCTCTTCTACCCATACAAAAGCAGGGAGAACACACACCATGTTAAGTCCCAGCCTTGGTTGCCTGGATTGTTGAAGATGACACAAAGGTTAAACATCCACTGAGGAATTATTATAGAGACTTGAGCTACAGGCTTATTATCTCTAATGCTGCAATCTATGGCTTCTTGCCTGACAAATCATGTATTAGGATCTTTCAAACCAACTCAGATGAATTTATTTCATAAGTTGTATAAAAGAACAGCACTATTAACCTAACTAGAACTAAGATTCCTTTGTTAAAAACTGTAAATTATATTTTTCCTTTGACTTCAACCACAGTCAAGGGCTTTTTGATATATGCGCTTTATTTTTCTAGCATGCTTTGAAAGAACTTTTGCTGCTTGGCTGCGCAAAAATGTGAATTACTTATTTTCAAGAGTAGCCTGCTATCCAGTGGAGGAGGGCATGACCTGTTTTCATAGTAGCCCAGCGGAAAACTTCTCTTTTTAAATGAAAATGGAAAGGAATTTTAATTGTGTTGTGCTAAACAATTACAAAGAGCCAAAATACCCATTAAAACAGCCTAGCATGAAAAATTACATGATTAGGAAGAACTTGCCAAAATTATTTAAATATAGAAATTGAAATATTAACTAAACAACATCCCAATAATTTATGACAAAGTAAAATCACTGTGCTAACATTACTTTTATACAATAGTCTATTCAAGATGATTTGACTGTACTTCAAGTACAAGGCAACTCTTTGATACTATTAACCCTAAATGACAGACATTTAAACTGATATTACTCTAATTAACTGGCGACTGCCTACACCAATAATTCAAGTTTTGCTGAAAGATAGCAACAACACTGTACTCAACTTCAACTTTGCCCTGGTGACATCAAATCATATTACAGCTAAATTAACAGTTGTGAAAATTTCTGGCCTGGTAGTCCTCCATCATACACAGCCTTTAAATGCCATTTCAGTTCCCATCAAGGCAGGAATCAACAGTTGTAATTTTTAATACAGCTGTGAAACAATAGGACATATTAAAAGCTGAATTTTTGACAGCATATTCGTGATGATTTATGAGTTTGTATATAATTTGATTATTCTATTAATTTTACTGATTACTGATTCAGCTAATACAGTGAAGGTCACTTACAAAATAAATCTTCATTACATTTCACAGAAAGTAACTGCCTCCAACTAGTTGTTTTCTTTAATTAAACACTAATGCAACAAGAGAGAAAATAGGCTTCAGGGTTGCTGCATCTGTTGCTACAAGAGGAGTTTACTGCTTTGATGTAATGCTCTCCGATATTAATTGAACAAAAATAGAATGTCTCTCCATCTGACATTTTGGTTTTCAACACAGAGATACAATAAACACACTTAAATTGCAGACTGATCCTTAGTTCATTCTGAAACTACATAAAAGTACTGGAAAGCCATATCACATAGTTTCACACCAAAAAAAGCAGGTTTTATTTCTAGCATACAGATTGTCTTTTACTTTCTAAAATGCATGGAGAAAATTGAGTATTTCTCTCCCCAACAGTGCAGTCCCATATACAAAAACTATATGCTTCCCTCCTTAAAGATGAATACTGCATGTACAGCACAGCAAGCTTTGGAGAAAGATCAAAAAAAACCATGCCAAGTGCTGAATTAATGAATCGTTCTATCAATTATTTTACACTCAGAGTAAGCTGTTCTTATGTTAAATTCTGTGGTTCCTTAAAGGTCCCTAGAACTTCAGCATTTCCTACAGTATTGGTGTGTTCTAAACACATTAAAGTGGAGAATACAGACAAATCAGATAAATAAAACAGCTACAGTTAAAAATAAAGATAGGCAATTTTCCTAGCAGAGTTCCCATAAAAAAGTGAAATCTTAGTATGTGCACCCAACTGGATGAAGACAAAAAAACCAAACACCACGACAAAACCACAAACCAGCACCAAAGATATAATTAAAATAATAATCAGTGTCAACCAGAACTGTCCTGACATTTGGAGAGCTATTGCAAAGGATAATATGCAAATAAATGCTTAAGCAAGGAAGTGAGGAGTCAAATATTTTTGTTTTCCTGGAGACAGTGTTTAGCATTCCTGTAAAATTAAAAAAAGGTCCCAAAAGATTACAGAATCAGCTTACTCTATAAATCTAATTAGCAAAGTGACAGTTTTAAAACTGTCACAGAGTTCCTGCACAGTTATCAACTGGAAGTTAGATAACTTCCGAACAGTATTTTGCAGGAACCACAGTTTTCATGCCTCTACTCATACCGCAAGATAATTTCTTCACCAGATCTTCACTTCTGTCCTAAAACACTAAAGGAAATTCCTAGCACTGTGACTGGGAAATGCTACAGAAAGAGTTGCTGTAATGGCAAAGCTCCAAATTAAAACACTGGGGGGAAAATAAAACACAGGGGGGAAAAAAAGAACGAGGACTTCTCATTTCAGTTTCAGTGAGCTCTTTTCGTGGAGGAAGACACAAAGGCAGGAATGGTAACAGATCAGGGAATAAATGCCACGGCTGAAAGAGGGATTGGATTTAAACACAAGTTTCCTTCTAAAACTAAGAAATTGCTCCTTTTTATTATATGGCATTTAGATTGCTATGCATAAAAATATATATTCACATATTGTGAGGAATTTTAGTGGAGCATATAATATTTGACAATAAAGTAACAAGATATCAAATTGGTGTACTTGATTTTGTTTAGAGCACAAAATTCAAGAATCTGAGTAATATATCTACTTATCACTTACTCCAAGATTCATTAGACCCACGGGGCACTTTTTTCCGTAACTACAAAATAGGAATAATTTAAGTTTATTTCATCAGAGTCTGGCAAAGATTAATATTTATTGTTCTTGATATCTGAATAGCCAAATTGGCACTGAAGTATAACTACTTCAAGGGATTTAACATTTGAGCTCCTACTATGCGATGTGCAAGTTTGGGGGTTTGGCAAGTAAATGCTGCCTTTTATAGGCTCAAGATTCCAATTCTGTTTTCTGAAACTCAAATGCTAGAAGACATTGCAATAAAAAATTTAGTTCATCATACATTTTTGTTACTAGACTTCCAGTCTCACCTCATGCAAATGTAGATTAAGCTGTTTCTAAAACT